CATTGTCTCCACTTTGCGAAAATTTGACTTTTGCGGGCGGGCTTGGAATGTATTCTACAAAAGTCAATTGAACACTTTATTTTTTTTTTTATCTCATTTTAAAATTGTAAAATTTTTCTGAGTATATATTCTATCGATTTGTCTATTTTATTTCAGGTGTAACTCCATAGTTGTTTTTTTTTTTTATAGATTTGTTGGTTCAAATCAACATTACATCATTTCAGGTGCTCAGAGTGACAGTGAAGTTCAAAGTTTAAGTGGCATATCTGAAGCCAGTGACAGGGGCTATACATCAGACAGTGAATTGTATGAAGGCCAGAGTCGCCATGGAAACCAGAAACACTCCTCAAGTCTTAACCATCCTTTGGGCTTGGAGTTGAGACCTGTACCAGACAATGGCAGCTGGATGATGGTATGTCATTGTCATTTGACATTACTCTCAAAAGTTTTCAAACAAACTAAATTTAGTCTATTGCGTTAATGAAAATTTTAAATTATCTGTGTGAAATTTATCTTCTAACAAGGTAAACAGAGAAGATGTCCATAGTCCTAGGATGCCTGTTAATCAGTACAGTATTGACCTGAATGAAAATCTTCTATATCCAGATAGTAAGTCACTCCTTAAGTCTGCCGAGACCCTCACCTTCCTAGTTCGGGATGCTGCGCATGTAACTCCCCATAACTTTGAAAGCTGTGTCCACTGTATACGGACATTTGTTGAAGCTGGAGTAAATGGAGGTATGCGTATGACAAAAGTTAAATAACATTAATGGGTTCAGTAAGATAATTAATATAATGTGATAGTTTGAAAAGTGACATACGTCTTTTGTTATCCTAGGAAAGACTCGTACACCTCCTCCTCGAAATAATACTATGAGAGACAACAAACAAGCCAGGAGGAAAGTAAAAAAAGTTACATCCAAAATTGGCAAATCTTTGTCAACCCCAGAACAATTACATGATGGTCTACCATCAGATGAGGACCCAGATGGAGAAGCCACTCAAAGCAGGTAAGCACAACCTAGCATTAGGAAATAACAAAAGTGATTTTTTGTTCTGTCATGCTGGGTTGTTTTTTTAACAAGATTATTTTGCAAGTCATGGTCTGTGGTGATAGCTGTGTGATTGGAATGTTGGGCCATTGATCAAAGAGTCTTATGGTACTACCATCTTGTGGGTTACAAGGACTTAAGTCAGGATTTTGAGGCATTCCATCAATCCTATAGAGCACATTGGCTTAAAGGGAACTTTACTTTACTTTAATTCAATCCAGCCAGTTTTATTTTGGTGCTTGTTTTTTTTTTTAGTAAGAGTTAAGGAAAAAGATTTTGGTTTCTGATCGTAACGCCCCAATAAATAGTTATTCATTGCAATCTCAGCTTCATTTGTCCCATAATCATTTAAAGAACTGCAAAAGGAAAATGTTCTCTAAGTGACAATTTGCTTGTGTTGATAACTATTTGTGCTGGTTAGATTTTGTAACCTAATTAAAACGTTTTCAGCCTACAGTTGCTGTCTATACAACTTCTGGACTTAATGCATACTCTACACACTCGAGCAGCTTCTATCTTCAGTGCTTGGGCACAGGAACAGCAGCAGATGGATGAAGGAGGGGCACATCCTGACATCAATAGCAGCAGCAGTAACAGTGGAATGGTCAGAGTGAACAGTCAAGGAGTCATTGTGGACACCAAAGCCCCTACTTTGTGGGGAAAGTGTTGGTGTCCTTTATTGCAGGGTGACTATTTGTTGCTTTCTATCTGTAGTTTAAACCCCCCAAAAAAGTTCATTGGTATAAATAAAATACTATTTATTTAGATCTAACATATTACATAGAATCCAGCAAACTTCAGACATTCATCAGTATTAATATAAACACAGAACTACAGTTTGGAAAAAGTTTCACTATAAGATGTTTTTGACAACATGAATTTGTTAGTTAGATAGTGAAACTAGTTTTCTCATCAAATTAGGCATTGCCAGGTTGTGTTGTGATGCTAGACGTCAAGTAAGAAGTCAAGCATTAACCTATTTACAGAGAGCTCTTCTAGTCCATGATCTACAGACGCTGAGTGCCATAGAATGGGAGTCCTGTTTTAATAAGGTCTGATTTACACGAAACATTCTATTCTTAGCAACATTGCTTTAAAAAACACCCAATATATTAGATTTTAAATTCACCTAACTTCTATCTTTCTAGGTTTTATTTCCTTTGTTAAACAAACTGCTTGAAAATATAAACTTAGCTGATCCTAGTGGTATGGAGGAGACACGAATGAGGGCTTCCACACTTCTTTGCAAGGTTTTTATCCGTTCTGTCTTAAATTTCTTCTAAAACCAAAAAAAGATTTATTTCATTTTCAGTGTAAAAAAAAATACTCCTTTTTTCCCAGGTGTTCCTACAACATTTGAGTCCTTTGTTGTCCTTAGCAACATTTACAGCTCTATGGTTGACCATATTAGACTTTATGGAGAAATATATGAGTGCTGACCGAAGTGACTTATTAGTAAGTCTTTTTTTTTAAATAATAATTTTGCATTAAACCTTAGTATCTATGTAAAATTAAGCTCTACTGTCACATCTCTTCTAACAAATGCATCACTACCACTTTCTTGTCTTCTTACAGGAAGGAGGCCTTTTAATACTATCACAAAAATCTCAAATGTTCATTTCTCTATTTCATTGTAGCAACTTTTAAAAAATCTTAGGGCTGCTATTCAATCCATCATTTGGTTATAGTTCGGTTACATTTGAATTATTGGCTAATCCACATCTCCCATTTTATCATATGTATGAATGCTTTAAATAATAATAATTGTTTTTTGTATATCTCTCTCCAGTCAGAGGCAATTCCTGAGAGTTTAAAAAATATGCTGCTAGTGATGGACACTGCAGGGATATTTCAGACAGCTGATGGCACAGAGTCTCAATTATGGCAGCTGACTTGGGATAAAATAGACACATTTTTGCCCAAACTTCATAATGAAGTCTTTAAACCATTTGAACCAGGTTAGATTACTATTGCTGTCTTATGCTGTTTATTTTGACTGTATTGTGTATATGCATATTAATGTTATTATATTAATGCAGTGGTTAGTTCTGCTTCAGAATTATTAAGAAATAAATGTATTCTCTTCAAAAGAACCTAAGCCAGGTAAGATGGAAAGGAATGAGACTCAGACAGAATCTCAGCATTCAACTCCAGCACTTCCAGTTCAAGAGCAGCTACCTACCGTCTATCCTCCCACTGCTTCAACAGACAGTAACCGAACAGTACAAGCTACAGACTATGTAACAATACCTTTAGAGGGAATTACAAGACCTGTTGATGGTAGGTAGTTTAAATTAGATTACAAACTTGCTTCCATAGTTGATCGAAACAATTTCAATATTTGAACTTTGTTTTTATTAGAAAGTAATATCATTTATGTTTATATGTATGCCTGTTGGCTAGAAAAAGATGTATCTATCTATAAAGTAAATTTCTTTAATAAGTGTAAAATGTATAATTTATAAACATATAATTCAATCCTGAACTTTATACAAAATAAAAGGAAACTCTATTATAAGTCATTTGAACTGATTTACAGCTGAACATAAAAAAAATACTTGACTAAAACATGTTTGGATAGAAATAAAATCTCAGATGTTTTGTATTTATGTAATGCCACAAATATCATTGAACTGTTGGTCTTCATGTACAATCTTTTGTGTATGTTATGAAAACCTGAACAATTTTATTGATGGATTCTGTTTAAATTTGGAAGTCAGCCTGTTTCAAGTCTTGTGTTTGAATCATGGAATAAGGAATATCTCTGAATCCACCATTGGCTGCCTGGCATCCATATTAATGTGTGAACAAAATACTTGTTCAATGTGCTTGCCACATGATACAGAAACCAAATTGTATATCTTCCACCTCATGTTATAAAAGATTTCTCTGCTGAATAACTCAAAATTGTTAAATGTTTTTATTTTTCAGATCGTCCAAGCAGCCCGTTGATGAATCAACCAGCTCCTACGGCAACATCTTCCTACATTCTCCATCCTCCTTTACCACACATTCCATCAACAACTGGACCTACAGATTAACTGCATAGAAGAAATAACCAAAGCAAGGCATTGTTTAAATAGTTAAGCATTGGCTTATAAACAGATCTTTTCATATTTATGTAGTATACACATAGATATATTTAAACACATAAATATACACATTTGAAGAATTGTTTGACATTCCTGTCACTACTAGAATCAATCATGTAATTCCATTTTGTTGCTCAGACACATTTAGACTTGGATTCATGAAAGCTTGAGTTGTTCAGCAAAGAAAGAATTGTATATTTGTAGAGAAGGTTATCCTGGATTTTTTCAACAATAGTCTTATTGGGATAAACTCTTGAATGCATGTTAACTTATTTATATATTTGTATACTGGTATATATAATGAGTAATAAATGTTTGGCTTAACCTTTTTAAAAATAGATTTTTAATTATTTGATATATCATGAAAAAAAATGTGCCATTTATTAGACATGTAAAGAATGTAATGTGTACAAAACTAGGATTCATGGGAGCTCTCATTATGAATCAAATTAATCAAAATGTTCATACTTAACATTTCAAGTTATTATTTTGTTGTTGCAGAGTGTTTCCATTGTATGTGTGTGTGTACAATATTCATCTAGATCAAAACATACTTTTCTGTGGCATTTTACATCCAGAGAGATAGTGTTTTCCCTTTGCAACTTCTTGTGTGACTAAAGAGGCCAATCCTTGATACACAGCAGCGGTCACTTTGCACATTGTTTTTTTTGCCATCTCTTACTATTCACATTACTACAACTCATTCAGGATCTAATGGAAATTTAAAACAGTTTTCAATCTTTTTGTGAGGGGTTTGTCTACTACATCGTTAAATAATATTTCTTTGTCTGTTGATTTTGGAGTTCAGAATGTCTATAAACTTTAGTTACATCTTTTATGTGGATGATTTTTTGGGTGATCCTTTTTTTTTTTTTTTAGTGCTAATACTACTACCTAGTACATTGACAGTCCTTTGTTGTTTGTTTTTTATAGCTATGCTTCATTCAATTTGTCAATGCTTATGCAAGTCAACCATTTCATAAAGTGGCAACCTTACTATGATCACTGTGTTTGCATAATCAGAAAGGCTTGTCTTAGAAAGATAATGTATCAGTTTTATCTGTGAAATGTTTATTCAGAAGTCAGTACACTATCAGTATGACTTGTCTTAGACAGATTATGTATTAGATTTATTGGAAGAAACAAACTCTGTAGATTTATTATAAAGCCGCTTTGTTTATTATGATGTTCAGGTAGTATGTACATAATGTTCATTTATATAACAGACATTCTTCAATGAAGGTCTCAGAACTGTGATACAATGACCTGTACAATAGTATAACTTAGCATCATTTTTTTAGAAGGGTTTTTCAGAGAACTAGATTGCTTGTACATTTGGGCTTTGGGTAAAGTTATGATTTGTTAAATTTGTTTCTGTTGTGGCAATGTGAGCATCTATTTATTTCTTTTTTTCTTCTTTGTTTCACTAATTTGAAATGAGCAACATATGTTCTCACTACTAGTGAAATAAAATTTAATTTAATGAACAAGTGTGTAATGATTTCAAAGTGAGAATAAAGATTATTCTATCGCCTGTTTGCTAAATGAGCAAAGGTTTATCAATCTATAATCACTTTTAGTTGACAAGAAATACAAGTTTCTTGGTCACATTTCAGATATGCCTTGTTATAAATAGTTTGTAAACTAATTCATTTGAGCCACTAACTTTTTTTTTCTATTGTTATTTTGTATTGCTGGATAGAATGTGACAACAGAAATATGCAATTGTTTTGTTCACTATTGTTTTGACTAAAGTTCAACTCATGTTCTATGATATGTGTTACTGTAGATATGCCAATGTTTTGAATGTTGTGACCTTTAGTGCTCTGGTCCTTTTTTTTTTTTTTTTTTTTTTTGTTTTACTATTGCTACAACTTCTAGTCTGTTCAGAGCATTTCATTTAACTGGGTGTACACCTCACATACTGAACTGTTTATCCATTAGTTCAAGAGACCAAGAATGACAATCATTGTTCTGTAACTTAATTTTCAGAAAAGGTTTAGTTCTCTTGGCTGCTTTACTTTCATTTGGTTAGGTTCCAAATTTAAACTACTTCCACATTTTTAAGTCATACACTTAAACAAATTCTTGGAGATATGTGTTTGATAAAAGTGTGGAATGTGAGCCGGTTTAGCCATATTTTGTTCTCTATTGTGTTGTTCCAAGTGAATATCATGTTTGTACTCCATTGGGCTCTAAGACAGATGCTCAAGTGATACTTTGTATTTATATTTAATCTGGTGTCAACAATGTACTGCAGTGTTGATGCATGTTTCAGTTGGATTAAAGATCAGTTATAGCTCAATACCTGCTTTCTTGCATATATCAAGTGCACCTTTATGTGTTTGTACAAGAAAGGTGGTGGGGAGGGTAATGCTCATGTGCATGCATTAGACGCCAGGTTGATTTCGCGAAGCCATTTTTATATTTATTTAGATTGTGGAGTAGAAAGATATATTAGTTTAGAAAAAATGAACTTGTCATTAGTATGGATATGCTAAATCCTTAGAAAAATGAAAGTGAATGGAAGACACCCTAACCAGGTGATATCCATTATATATGACGATCCATCTATGTTGACAGAAATGAAAAAGAACCTTAAGTTGAAGGTCACGTTGAAAAAAAAAATGTCACAAGAACATTTGGGGCTAAAGTAGTGTACCGGTACTGGCAAAAACTTGTTTTAATTCTATACAAGTAGGGATCTACAAGAACTCAGGGCAGGGCATGGAGATGAAAAGCTCATAGCAACATATGTGTGGATCTTTACAAGTACTAATGAAACGGTTTCAACCAAGAGATTTAGAAATACTTTTATTTAGAGTTTATTCAGCAGCGAATTTTCTTTCTTAATAGGTGTAACCCTGTTAGTCATCATGAGATCTTCACCCAGTCCAATGACTCGCCCCCCCCCCCCTCTAGTGTCGCTCTTCATTTCCCAATCGTATTTGTTGTGTTCAATGCAACACTTTTCTTCTCAATTAGTTCTTCATCTTTCTTCCGAAGGGAAAGCTCTTATTGAAGAAAGGCGCAGACGACGGAAAACTTAAATAGACCGCCGTCGGACGATTGCCTTGTGTGCACTAGATGTGGAAAAATATGCAGGTCGCAACTGGGTTTGGGTAGTCATGTGAAACACTGCACTCATTCTGGGATTGAGGACATTGCCGTTGAAAGGCAGACCACGAATGTCATATGATTCTATAAAAGTACTCAGGGCATGGAGACGAAAAGCTTACGAGTCCTCCGAAAGATCTGAATGGACAGTTGTTAAAGCAAACCATTATTGCTTTTAATTAATTCTAAAAAAAAAATGGGGGAAGGCAGTTCTTTTTATAAAGCTTAAATCTCAACTCACTCCTGTCTGGTACACATTTTGAACAAATTATTTCTCACACAGCCATTCTCAGATCAAGTTGAAAGTTTACAAAATTATTTATTAATCAACCAATAAATTAACTCGTCAGTCAATTAATTAGGCCTACTGGTAATTAATTATATTGCTTGATACCAAAAATGGAAATTAATCCTTCAGGATTGAGAAAAAAATATGGCTAAATATGTGAAATTGTGTACACGTTATTTCTCCCACACCTTTTCCCGGATCAAGTTGAAACTTTACTCAATTATTTTTTGTACTTAACAAAACATGAATCAATTAGGCCTAAAATAAGTTCTACATTATTGAGAAATATGGCCGTAAATGCGGAGTTCTTCCTCTTGGGCCTCATTTATTTTTTTAGTTTTTGTATAATTTCTTTTTTATTTAATTTTCACACTTTCTTGATCGTAATGTTCTAGAATCTCAGCAATGGTCTCCTGCCTTCATAATAGTGAGAACCATTAAGACTCGCAAGCTGTTACTAGCGACAAGGATCGAACATGTGGAGAGATGATGTTGATAATCAATAAAGCAGCTATAAAAATAGCCACCACAATTGCCAGTTGACTTAGCGGCTTCTTTGATAGACGTTTACATTAGTCATTATCCATATTTTGAACAAGGTATTTCAGGGATGTCTCTGCCTTTAAAAAATATAGGCTACCTGTGTCAGACAGCCAATTTACTGAGAACTGTAAGCAAAATATAAAAAGCGCATTTGTGTTTACAAACTTGTAAGCGGTCCCTAAAGGTTCTTTATTTGGCAAGCAATGCAGATCTAAAGGCATGTTTTGATCAATCTGAACACGACGGACGTGAGAATAGACACCAGATTAGGAGAGCAGTTTTCGTGTTTGTTTGGTTTTTATTATAAATGTTCCTACTGACCCATTATAAAATAGGCCTATAGTAGCAATTGTTATAGAAAATGATAGGCCTATAGAACTAAGCCTACCTTTGTGTTAACAAAAGGTCATAAGAAGCTTTCATGTTTGTAGTGAGGGGAGGTCTAGGAGAAACTAGGAAACAACAAACTATCAATTGAATCACAATTTGAACAAAGTGCCCGGCATGCTACCCTGCCTCATAGTGGTGCTCGGGTGGAAACAATCGTAGGAGGAAACGATTAGGCTAAAGGGTAGCAAAACAAGACTCCCGTGGGGGTGCACTTTGAGGAGTTGTAAAAAAGCTCCAACAATCTTGTCACAATCCAGGCACTGTTCCTCAAGGGGCCGTTACATAAATGGAGTGTCCCGCACGGTTAACCTGGTATAGAAAAGGAAAATGGCGGGGGTCTTAGTGTACGCGGCCTCTTGCCACGAGTCTGACCCATCCGCCAGACAAAACAGTGTACATTGTTCTCATTCAGGCCGGTGAGAGAGATCTTGTTCACATTTGCTGGCCTAGAGTTCCAAGAGCCGAAGGCTCAACTCTACCTGACAGTTTCTGCCTGAATACCACCAGCGTAAACATTGCGGTATTTTTACGTAAAGACAAACTTGACTTGAAGATTGTATAGGCCTATCCTTGCCCAAAACAGCTGAGGGTGGCCGCAGAAAGGGTTTCAAACAGGGACAATCCGGAGTGCATACACAGACCAGGCAGCCATGTCGTTCTGTTTCTGTACTGAGAGATATTATCTTGTAAAATAAGCTACAGGCGTTACTTCATAAAAAAAAATGAACAATCGCTCTAGACGTACCATACAACAATTAAAAAACACAAACTGCACAAACATGTAAATTATATAATTATGTTTTGTTACATCCATCGCAGACATAACCGTTGTTTGCTGGTGGTGATTTGGGCTAAATACGGAATAGGTGTTTTTTTTTTTGTTTTTTTTTAAATAGTGCCGGTACTCAGTGATGGATTGCCTAACTTTTAACTACTAATAAATGAATAATTAACGTTAAAATGCAAGAAAAGTAATCATTTTTTCCACATATTGAAAAAGGTACCGTGCCGGTACGCCGTCCCGTAGCGTACCGTCACAAAATAATCACTGAATAATATCACTGCGCCATCCACATTAGATTAGACACCCTTACACGATAGGTTATTTGGTTTGCAGATCTACCCATTACCCCAACAACCAATAATGGGTCAGATCTTACACAGATGGCTCTCAAGAAGCCATCAGAAAAGGAAAAGCTGGAATATACTTATTGAATGACCCAAGGGAGAAAAACTAAAAAAAAGTCCATTGCAACCCGAGAGCTCAGACACGGAGCAGAAAAGGAAGCACTAGAATTAGCAACTACCACGCTAAGCATACCACCAAAGAAGATTGTCTCCTGACTGACATCTATCGGGAAGAAACGAATAAACTAATAATGAGTAGATCAAATAAAAATTGGACTTACTATTACCCGTAGGACCTATCACAAAAAGAACGCTGCCTATAGGTCCCTATTATAAGGTAGCCCGACTTGACCAACTTATAATTTTTCGCCTCAGAACCGGGCATAACGAAATGCGTCAACTATAGGCGTATGTTCTGGAAACTGAAAATTGCGATCAATGACATTCGCCATTGTGAAGAATCTCCAGAAAATACCAACCTTGTCCTTCAGAACTGCATTTTAAATCGAGAGGCCCGAAGAAGACACTAACCCCAAAATACCCATATAAAACAAAAATGTAAAAGATAGCTGCCTAATTTTGAAACTATTCTAGACAAATAGGCCTAACTTTTACCACCAGGCAGGTTCGAGCGTGTAGCTGAAACGTGTGAATATGTGAATGTATTACAGTATCACATCAGATGTGATTCGAAAAGTAGGCCTACCAAAAGCGAGAAGCAAATGTAGGCTATATAGGTGGCAATAGGCCTAAGCCTAGACTACGTAGCATTCTCGAATGAAACTCATCCTAATTATTCATTGAATTGACCTTCAAGTTCCTTCAACTAACATGCATGAGTTAGGTTAGTGACGGACCAACCTTTTTGGATCAGGCCAAAAACCCTAAAGGACACATTTTGATCCCGGGAGCATAATACTTTTATCATTTAAACAACAACAGTAGGTGAGCATTTAAGACTAAATACACAAATGCGATGTAGGGTATAAGTTACAGGAACGGCAAATTTGAGTCACATGAGAAATTGCAAAGGGCAAAGATCGTCTCCCGAGAAGTAGGCTGAAATGCCACAGAGAGAGAGAGAGAGAGAGCGGGAGAGAGATCTATTATTGTTGTATTTAAAAAAATAAACAATATAGACATATGATTGTCCCTATCATGGGCGTAGCCAGGATTTTTTTCGAGAACCCCCCCCCCCCCCATCGCGAAAGTTGTTTAAATATATTTATGTGTGTGTGTGTACATCATCTTTATTACTTTCTGACCCTTTATTCTTTCGGAAGACGTTTATTGTGCCATAGAATAGGTTCTTCCTAGAGTTAGTGGAAAAATTGAAGATTCCCTGCCATTGCCAGCAAGGGGGTCTGGGGGAGCGCTAGGAGCTTCCCCAGCGCGGGGCGGAGCCCCGCCGCCAAACACTATTTCTGGTATTGAAAGCCAACAAAATGCATATTCTGAGGTATGTACAGTGCATTTTCCTGCTATTAAAAAGTTTTATTTCAAAAACCTAATGTGCTATTCTTAATGACTTAGACCCTCCCGCTCCGTTCGGCGCATTTGCCGTCAAGCTGTTTCCATAAAAATCTGTCATTGGTAATGTCTGCTCTAAGGACCTCCATGAATGTGTGGCGCCAAGTTGTACTAGGATGTCATCACAACTCTTCTTATGCGTAATTCCTTTTGTCGGAGAACATGCCCAGCAAACCTTATGCGACGCTCTACCACAATCTTACAATCCCACTTCAGAATAGGATTTCCTTGATCCGATCTCTATAACTGACTCCTAAAATATGTCTTAGCCATCTTTGTTGAGCCACATTTAGTGTTTTTCAATATCG